ACAGAAAACTATTAAAAAAATTATGGCCTTTGAAAACCTCAGCTTCCACGAGGCGACCAAAAAGCTAGATGTGATGAAAACTGAAAGCATTAAATTGACCCTGAACGACAGACCATTAGCAATCCAGAAGAAAGTTAATGCAGGAGAGACCATTACTATTGAAGACATTGATCCCAAAAACTTTCCGGTTCTGAAAAACAAGTATCTAGTCCTAATCTCAAACGTTTATCAAGAACAAACGAATCCTGATAACTTCTTATATTCTATCGACGACCTTAGAAGACCCTCTTCAGAAATTGTTCTTTCCCCTTCCCCTATAAGAAAGAAAGTTAAGATTTCAGAGCTTAACGATCCTGTTATGCCATCAGGTAAATGGCTTAAAAACTATCAAAAACCAATCTTCTACTAGTCAGGTGTTCAGACCAACCAATGAGCAGAATAAAGGCTTCTGACCCTCTCCGATTAAAGGAAGCCAGTCTAGTATCTCTCAATCCCACTTAGCTCAACATCAATTTAAATTGACTCCTCCCCCTTTGATCAAAAATTCTTCAAACCCTAACTCATCCATCATTCCTACGAAACAAACCCTTTCCTCTAGATCCTCTCTACAATCACCTAACCCTGGACAAAAACAAGCCTCCCAACAACACTACAAACCTTCGTCTACTTCTACAAAATCAATAACCTCAACCAATCTTCAAACTGAAAAGATAAGTTCATCACAACCCACGAACAGTATACCCCCTTCCACTCTAACTCAAACTCAATCTTCTGAACCTGTTTCTCCGCCAATCCTTATGGATATTGGTAGTGAGACTGCTCTAGCTTCCTGATCCTTTTCCCCCAAACCCCAGTTCTGGTTTCAATCTTTTTCTTTTTTCCCCTTTCTTTTTAACCCCCCTTCTTTCCCCTCTTCCTTTCTCTCCCTATGACGCCTCCAACTTTATTTACTCTTCCTTCTAACTTTCATATTCTGAACTGAAATATGAGATCTTCGAATGAAACTGGTCTGAAAATTTTTCTCACTGATTTGAAGCCAGACATAGTGTTGTTATCTGAAACCTGGTTAAATTACTCCTCTCATTTCAAATTTCCAGGTTACAACATCATAAGAGACGATCGCGACGATGGTTATGGTGGCCTCTTATCACTAATTAAAATCAAATATAAATTTCAACGCCTCCCTCTAGATGCAACATCAATATTAAACACAAGAATTGAAACTCAAGCCTTCAAGCTTATCCTTGACAATTCATCTAAATTCTTCTTCTTGAATATGTACATCAATCCCGTAAGTAAATTATTACTGAACAACCTTCTGACCTTCTTTGAATCCAATAACCTGGTTGGTAAACCTCTCTTCTGGGCTGGTGACTGTAATGCAGAACACCCTCTTTGGGGTTACCCATCTAGTGACCCTATAGGCGAAGTTATTGTTAACCTTTCCCATCAATTAGATCTTTTCAATATCAATTCACTTAACCCCCAACCAACAAGGAAACCTGCTCCAGGCCGTAGCCTCAGATTCAACGATTTAGCCTTCATCTCTGAACCATTCTGTAGGAACACCTTCTGGAAAGCTCTCCAAACTGGAGGTAGTGACCACTTCCCATGCTCCTACTTCTTAAATAAAACAATCTCTTTAGATACCACATCGATACCCCCCCCCCCACTTCCTCAATTTCTCCTCCTAAACTGGAAAAGTTACCAAAACTGGAAAACTGGAGTTCATTTAAAACCCACCTTAATCAACTTCTCACTTGCTCCTACTACAGTTATGAAGACTACATTAATATTGTTCAAGAAGCCTACGCTAACAGTGTGAGAGATGAGAGATTATTGAAAACCCCTCAATCACAGTTTGTCCAACTTCCTCCCTCCTCTCCAACAATCCCTAACCTTTCTAAACCCAAGAAATATAAAAGAATTCCCCGGTGGAATGAGGAGTGCCAAATGTTAAAAAATAAACATGACTGCCTCCTGAGAGATTATCATAGAAATTGTTCTTTTTCTACTTTTTTAGAATATAAGAAGACCAGTGCTGAATTTAAACTCCTTGTTAAAAGTCCAAAAACGAAAAATTGGAGAGAATTCACAGCCAAACTAAATCCCTTTACCCCTGCCAAAGAAATCTTTGAAAAAGTAAAGATTCTTAATAGATCACTAACCCCGTATCAAGACATTAATTTTGATTGGATTGACGACCTTCATCTAGCCTTTACCCCTGACTCTCAGTTCATTAAACAATGGAACAACTCTTCATCCTTCTCTAACTCATTTGAAAAAATCTCGAAAGAGGAATTTCTTTTGGCAATTATGAAACTCAAAAAAAAAAAAATCCTGGTTTAGACATTATCCTGGTTGAATTTTTTTCAGAAGCCCCCCCCCCCTCCAGCCCAAGCTACCCTCCTTGACATTTTTAACTATATCCTAACTACTAAAAAGATCCCTGATTCCTGGAAAAATGTTAAATGGACTACGTGCAAAACGGGGCGTTTGGGGCTCGGGGCCGATACCTTTGAGACTTGCCCTATTCATTCACCTAACAATGCCCTATCTTTCCCCAAAGTTTCAAGCCCCCCAAAAATTTTGGGGAGACGCGGCGGGGGGTCAAAGTTAAAAACCGGCAGAATTTTCGCGAATTTATTACTCGAAAACCAAGAAGTTTAGGAAAACGCGGTTTAAACGAGCGTATTCAGAATGACGAGAGCTTTCAGAAAATGTATAACATCATAGGGTTTTGTCAACTTCAGCTCGAGTTATCGCCTTCGAAGCGCCGGAACGCTCAAAAAAGACCCCTTATTTTTTCACGTTTGGGCCGATTTAAAAGAAAGCCATTTTTTTACTTACATGAAAAACTAATATGTTGTTCCTGACTCTCTGTAGCCCCTCTAGCTCTTTACCGCATGCTGGGGAAATGTTTTGGTCGCGAGTTATAAGAGCGGAAAGGAGCGAAGGTTGGGAAAATCGGCTATTTTAAACTGCGCGCGCGGCGTTGATCGGAGGGAAAACGTTCCCTCCCACTCAGTTTGACGAATCACACTCCTCTGCCGACCTCGCATTGTTGCCACATGTCTCCTGATCCGTCGCCGTGCGCAGTTTAAAATAGCCGATTTTCCCGACCTTCGCTCCTTTCCGCTCTTATAACTTTCTTGTGCTCAATGGGCCTGTTGCATGCAAGAGATACAGCCGTGCGAAGAGACTTTTTAGTGGTTAAATGACACGAAAATTATGATGCTCACATTAAAAAAGTCTGAAATGCACTCCTTATTGCGCAATTTGCGTTGTCAGGAACGCGCTTTTTCAAATTTCCCGCGTCTGGGGGCAGTTTTCTAACGGAAACAATTAACGGCAACTCGCGGCTATTTCCGGTCAACTAAAACTGACAACATAACCTAAAAATCGGAGCTCGTCAATACCTTCTCGACCATACCTGGTCACGCCCAGATTGAGGTTATGTCGTTAGTAAATCGATGAAACGCCTGTTTATCAATGGCAGTGTAATGGGAAATTGTGAGTTTTGACGTTAATTTACTATAGTACGGCCAATTTTCATCATTTTTTTTGTGTGTTGTGACTCCCCAAGTTCCCCCTGAAGATGTGAGCAGTTACAGTTGTGTTTAAACTCATTACAAGGAAAATATTGAAGATTTGGTTAGTACCTAATCTTCCGCTTCATGCAGATTGCTGCTACTCGGGTGGAAATAATTGATTTTCGTTCAAGTGGTGGAGTTTTCATCATAGGAAAGTGANAGAAAACTGCCCCCAGACGCGGGAAATTTGAAAAAGCGCGTTCCTAACAACGCAAATTGCGCAGTAAGGAGTGTATTTCAGACTTTTTTAATGTGACCATCGTAATTTTCGTGTCATTTAACCTCTAAAAAGTCTATTCGCGCGGTTGTATCCCTTGCATGCAACAGGCCCATTCTCATGCTTTTTCTTCCCCAGTCACTCTTTGACCCTCAAAATGGCCGCCGCATAAGGGCGTCATAGCGCGCTTCCTCACTTTCACATAAGTACGGCTCCATATAGACTGTGCCGACGAGTATCTCAAACTCTTCACCCCGTTACCGTATGTACATGCCTGGAATTTACATGATATGCAAAAATGATGTACTTTTACCTTGTTTGCTATGCAAAATTCTGTTTTCAGTCAGTAAACTTTGATGTTTGAGCAATAGCCTGTGGGTGAGGTAAAACTAAAAAGGAAGGAAAAGTATTTTGATGACACTTTAATCCTAATCGTTGTACTACATATTTGTGTTAAGTCGATTCGCAGATTTCAAAAAGATCAAAAATTAAAAAATATAAGTCTTAACTTCGAACTTGTCGGTCTTAGAATCTTAGAGACAATTCCCAGAAAAAACTTGGCGAGGTGAAATTTTCACGTAAAAAGATAGTCTGAATTTTAGATATGGACACGGGTAACACTTTTAAATTCCACGAAAATAACATTACCTGTGATGCAAATATTTCAACGCATCTCAATTTTTATGACGTTACAAGGAGGCCTTGGGGAATTTTGTTGAGCCGAAAGTAGAAAAAAGGCCCCAAGTAACAGCACATATATTATTGATGGTGGATTTCTATTATCCGCAGTTTGGCCCCAGGGAGCAGAAATAATTTAAGATATTTTAGAAAATTACGTATCCCATATTTTTCGACATTTTGGTAGAAATCGTGTCATTATTTTTGACGGTTACGCACGTGACACATTGTCAACAAAAACTGCGGAAAGATCCCAAAGATACTGTAGATCAATTTTCAATGAAATTGCTTTCCATGAAGAAACAAAAGTAACTTTAAGCCATGAAAAGCTTTTATCTAATGACGAAAAATAAACAATACTGATAGAAATACTACAAAAAAGTTCAGGAACATTGGTATCGAAAATAAAATTCCAGATAGAGATGCAGATCCATTGATTATTGTTCAAACGGCCTTGAACTTGTCTTTGGAGTTAACCGAAAATTGTGTGATTGTTGGAGAAGAAGTCGATCTTTTGGGAATTTTTATTGCGTTGTCTTCAGAAAATGAGGAAATATTCCTTCTAAAATCTGGTAGACAAAACGTTAAAACATAAATTTACTCTTTCAATAGCCTAAACGCCCGCCCAAAACTAAATCACATACTATTTTTACAAGCATTTTCCAGATGTGATACTAAATGGGCGATTTCTGGAAAGGGCAAGATGGCGCCCTGCAATTTAATAGAAAAAAATGAAGACCTGCAAGATTACTCGTCATTTTAATGATATAGGCTCAACGTTTCGCTCCATCACTGAGTCCGGTAGTAAAATTCTCTTAAGACTATGTGGTGCAAAGAAACAAAATGACTCATTAGACAAACTTCGTTTTCATTTATTAAAAAAAAAAAAAATTCACGCAAATTTTATTAATTTCATTTTTGCTTTAGTATTTAACCGCTACTAAAACTGTAATTCATAGATAAAATGTTCTTTCATCCCTTAACCGACCGCTTTTTACTTCCTTTTTTGTCCTTCCTGCCCCTTCTACGCCCTTGATTCTTGTTCATTTTAAAAGCCGTAAATTGACCTACAAATAATTAAAAAGCTGAAAATTAAAAAATTAAAAGCTTGAAATTCTGAAAATTTTGGCTCTATTGATACCTTGCTTAATGTTTTTATGAAGGAAATATCTGTCATTATAAGCCTTTTTGTCCCGTTAAAAACTTAAAAAAAAAAAACCCATTTCCTGCTTGGTTCTCATCAGATCTGAAACACACTATTATTACTAAGAAAAAACTGCACAGAATTTATGTTCAATCTAGATCCTAGTATGACTTCCTGAAATTTAAAGAACAAAGATCCCTGGTTAAACGTATTCATACTGAAGAATTTAAGAAATTTGTCCATGAAATTGAATGTAATGTCAAGTCAGATCCTAAAAGTTTTTTCGGATTTGTTAATAAATCAAAAACTTGTAACAGTATCCCTTCTGTCATGCATCTTGATAACAAGAAAGCTGATACAAGTTACGGTATTACTAACCTCTTTCGAAGCTTTTTGCCTCTGTATACAATAATAATTCCTTAGATAATCTCAACAAATCTTTCTCGGATGATTCTCTTAGTTCAATTCAGGTTTCTATTGCTGAAGTGCATGAGTCTCTTGAAAGTTGAAAGTATCAAAGTTGATGCATCCGCTGGTCCTGATGGGCTTCACCCTTTTTTTGTCAAGTCATGTTCTGAAACTATATTATTCCCTCTTTACTTCTTATTCAATGAGTCACTGCGCACAGGTTCATTTCCTTCTAGTTGGCGTCAAAGCCACGTTGTACCTTTTAATAAAAATTCGGGTGATAAAGCTGATGTTAGAAATTATAGACCTATTTGTGTCCAAAATGTTTTAGCTAAATTATTGGATTCTCTTGTAAATAAGAAAGTCTCTTCTTATTTATTTCCTTACATCATCCAAGAACAACATAGTTTCGTGCCAAAGCGTTCAACTGTTTCTAACTTGGCAGTGCTAGTAGATTATATTACTGATAATTTTGCCCAAGGCCATGAAACTCATGTAATTTATACTGATCTATGTAAAGTGTTTGACACTGTCAATGTCCGAAGGCTTCTTTCCAAATTAAAAGCTTGTGGTCTGATGGGTTCTATTTTGGATTGGTTCTGCTCTGCTCTAACAGACAGAAGACAGCGTATCAAGATCAACAACTTTCTTTATCATGAATTTCTTGCTTCTTCTGGCGTTGGGCAAGGATCTCATATGAGTGCTCTTTTATTTATAGTATACATCAATGATGTTCGTTCTGTTATTCGATTTTGTAAATTTTTGCTTTTTGCTGATGACTTTCAGCTTTATAGATCTGTTCTTTCCCTATAAGACTTATATTTCATTCAGTCAGATATTATTAGTGTTACACTTTGGTTCCTTATAAATGGTTTGTCCTTTACTGTTGGTAAATGTGGCTTCATGGTGTTCTGTAGAGGGTCACCTCTGATTGAGACTTATTCCTAGCATATTAATAATGAAGCCATTCCCCGTCTTGATAATGTGAAAGACCTTAGAGTTATTTTTTATCCTAAGTTACTTTTTAATGACCATGTTGATTTTATTGTTGGTAAAGCTTTTGAAAATTCTATTTTTTTAGAAGAGCTGCCTCGTCTTTCCAGGATGTTCAGTCTCTTCTCACTTTTTTTAAGTTGTTAGTGCTACCAATTTTAACTTATGCTTCTCCTATTTGGTTCTCTCATACTTCCCATAACATTTGTAAACTTGAAAAAGTTCGCCACAATTTTCTAAAGTTTGCATCCTATCGCACTAAAAGCCCCATAGGAATCCATGATCATTTTTATGAGGATATTGCTAAACATCTGAACTTATGCCCCCGAGTCTCTATGTGACGTTGTTATGATCTCATGTTTTTGTTTAAACTTTTTAATAATTTTAGTTATTCTCCTACTCTTCTTAGCTACATTCATTTTCATGTTCCTCCGAGATCTTTGCGAAACTTAAATCGTCTATTTGCTATCCCCTCACATATTGTCATCTGGAAGCATAGATCTGTTATTCTCAGAATTTCAGATTTTGCAAACAGCTGTACGGAATGGATCCAATTTTACGGCCTAAGTATCTCAAATTTTAAGTCTTCGGTGAAAGAACGAGTTCTAGTTTTGCCCGTTTTGTAGTATGTTTTGTTGCCTTTGTTTTTATTTCAGTGTTATGTAATTGGGACTTGTCCCGTTGAAATTGAAATAAATAAATAAATAAATTAAAAAAAAAACTACCGCGCAACTATGTGGGGCAATAATTAGGATCAAAGTGTCATCAAAATGTCAGTTGTCAGCCTCCTATGGTCTAGTGGTTGTAGCGCTAGCTCTATGATCGGGAGGTCCCGGGTTCGATTCCCGGCCAGGGAACCTGAGTTTGATGGTCGCAAATAATGGTTGCTTGGGACTGGTTGTTAGGGACGGAGGGGGGACGGGACTGAAGCGCAGGATTAGCCCTTGTAGGCTATTTGAAGTGGGGGGGAAAAAAAATACTTTTCCTTCCATTTAAGTTTTACCTTACCCACAGGCTATTGCTCCAACATCAAAGTTTACTGACTGAAAGCAGAATTATGCGTAGCAAACAAGGTAAGAGTACATCATTTTTGCATATCATGTAAATTCCAGGCATGTACATACGGTGACGGGGTGAAGAGTTTGAGATACTCGACGGCACAGCAACCAGCATGCGGTCTATAAGGAGCCATACTTATGTGCATAGTGAGGAAGCGCGCTATGACGCCCTTATGCGGTGGACATTTAGAGGGTCAAGGAGTGCCTGGGGAAGTAAAAACATAAGAAACTTTTTGGTGCAAAATTTGATGAGGAACATTTTCTTAATGACACGCAGCTCGCCATCTCCAACCGTCCTCGAGATGTAGCCGAGAAACCGATTTTTCAGCCTTTTTGGGAGGCTGGGGGACTAAGCACAAGGGATATCAATGGGGACTTTTAGCCTATGCCTCTCTGGACCCTAACAAGCAACTTTAGCTAAAAATCGCTTGTATGGGAATTTTTTCCTGTAATCCGAGATATTTGATCTAATTTGACTGGACTCATTGGCAAGGTAGGGCTCTAGAAGCTATTTTGACAGGAGGTATGGAATAACATCCACAGAAGGTCCTGACTCAGATGACCCTATTAAGTGTTGACCAATTTTCAGCACGTTAATTACGCTTTTCCTAAGATTTTCAAGGCCTAAAATTAATTCTTATTCCCTCTGTAGTGCTGCCGAGAAAATGGTCTCAAAATAAAATACCCTCTGAACAAAATAAGAAATAATGATTCTCTGAAAATACTAACTTCCAGAATATCTATACGGAAAATTCAAGGGTTCAATTAATTAAGCATGTAAGGTAGCTGCCGTTTACACAAAAGTTTTCACTATACAGGGTGATCCAGATCACCCATCCACTATCTTTTTCTCGAAAACGGCGGAGAATTGAGCTTCGGAACAAAAACCTTCTAAAGGCAAATCGACCCCAAAGAATCGAATGAAAATATTTTCAGCCCCCCCAAATGGCCCCTTGGGAAGGTTTTGGGGGGGAGCCCCCCCGTTTCTCGCGATTTTCAAATAGGAAAGATATGTTTTGACTTTGGATTCAGAATCTACGGCAAAAAATAAGAACATTTTGCTCCTTGCGCTTTTTCCATAAACCCCCATTTTTTGGATTTATGGGGCATTTTTGGGGCAATTTTCAATTCGCTGCTTTAAGCGGTCAAATTGTCCAAATTTCAAAATCTAAAAATCTCCTGAGAGGAGAGGTCAATACCTTTTTATTGATGTGTCATATGACCCCTGTTGCTCCAAAATTTGGGGGGCCACAGCCCTCCAACAATTTTGGGGCTTTGGAGGGCCTTAAGTCAAAAATTTCAAATGGCAAGAGTATTTTTTGATTTCAGATTTGGATTCTACGTTAAAAGTTACGTAGAATTGATATGGCGCACGGCCTGTTTCCTCAAATTTATTTTTGCCCCTTATTTTCTCCAAAAATACACGGCTTCTTATGGGGAAATGGGGTTCTTCAGTAATTTGGAGCAAACAGACCGTGCGCCCTATCAATTCTACGTAACTTTTCGCGTAGAATCCAAATCTGAAATCAAAACATACTCTTGCCATTTGAAATTTTCGACTTAAGGCCCTCCAAAGCCCCTAAATTTGGGAGCAACAGGGGTCATATGACACACCAATAAAAAGGACCTACCTCTCCTCTCAGGAGATTTTTAGATTTTGAAATTTGAATAATTTGGCAGCTTACAGCATCGAATTGAAAATTGCCCCAAAAATGCCCCATAACTCAAAAAAACGGGGGTTTCGGGAAAAAGGGCAAGGAGCAAAATGTTCTTAATTTTTGCCGTAGATCCTAAATCCAAAATCAAAACATATCCTTCCTGTTTGAAAATCGCGAGAAACGGGGGGGGGGGCTTCTCCCCCCAAAACCCTTCCAAGGGGCCATTTTGGGGGCTGAAAATATTTTCATTCGATTCTTTGCGGTCGATTTACCCCATGAAAGTTTTTGTCCCGAGGCTCAATTCTCCGCAGTTTTCGAGAAAAAGATAGTGGACGGGTGGTCTGGATCACCCTGCATACCGGGTGTCCGTAAAGTAACTGAAAAGTGTGTATAATTTTTGAACAAAAAAAGATAGAAGGTCGCGGTTTGTGGCATTCTTCATCATTCGAAAAGGGAAATTTTTCGATGGGGGATCTTTCTTGGTGGACCCCCCTGGGGTCCCCAAGGGGGGCAACTTTTAAAATTGAAATAGCAACCCCCATTTTTTTAGACATGGTTAGAAAGAAACTGAAAAGACAAGCAGAATGGCGAAAAAAAAATTAAAATCGGTTCACTCGCTCAAAAGTTATAGCCGGTCAAAATTTTGAATTGACCACTTTTTAAAAAATCGCCGTTGAGCTCCAAATTATCGAAAAAACTAAAAGCAAACCAGGAATGAAAAGTTTGAAAAGTGCCTTTTAGGAAAAGGAAAAACAATTGACGTTGTCACAAGTTCGGATGGCATTGTTTCAAAATAAAATTTTGGAAAATTCAACGTGGCAGCAAAGGACCCCGCACACCTCATATGGGAAGCTGCACCATGACCGATTGCCTTCTGACTAATGTCATTCGATTCTCCTCAAGATGCTGATCAAAAGTTACAATTGCGCCAACTTTCTACGATGCACCGTTTTCGCAAAAAACCTAAGAGAAGATCCAATTATTCGGCAACAATGAATAAAAACCAACAAAGCATTTGAGAACAGGCCCAATGTAAATAAGAAAAAAACGTAGCGGGTGTCCGTCTTCTTATCTATACCTGCCGACTCTGGGGCTATCTCCCTCCCACTCTCGTCCGGTTGACGTTCCGACTTTCCTGTTCTTATGCTCCTCAAGAATCTTATTTGGATGGTCGAGCAAAACGGCGTGCGGAATCCGAGATAAGACTGCCGGTCGGTGCGGGAGTTTCCCTGATTTGTTCACTCGAGTACTGAAATGAGGAATCTTTCAGGCTTTTTATCGTCGAATAATTAAATATTCTTTTAGGTTTTTTACGAAAACGTTGCATCGTAGAAAGTTGGCGTAATTATAACTTTTGATCAGCACCTTGAGGAGAATCGAATGACACAAGTCAGAAGGCAATCGGTCATGGTGCAGCTTCCCATAAGAGGTGTGCGGGGTCCTTTGAGGAAATGCAAAAAATGAAAATTCCAGAAACTGTTATCTTTCAAATACCCTCTAGTTTAAGGAAATCAAAGGTATCAACTTTGATTTCTTTATTTGGCCAAGTAAGAGCAATAATTTGCTGACTTGAAAGTTTTCAAGCGGAGCGCCTTCAATCGTTGAAGTATGCAACATCACAGGATTAAGTGAGCTGTCAAAACATGAAGCCGATCTGAAGAAGCGCTCCTCCTTTGAGATGCTTCAGAAATTTTCAAGGTCCTCCTCCAAAGCAGCAAAAGTAAGCACTAATAAATGAAACCAATTAATATTATACAACTTCATTTGTCAAATGACTTGATACCAAATTTAAAACAAACAAAAAGCCGGTGGAAAGTGGAAACAGTAGTTTTACTGTAAATCGAGAATAATCTGATAATTGCAAACTAAATCAGAATGCAGCATGATCAAAGGAACTTAGCATACTGATTTCAGCTTCGTAAACAGTGTCACCGATCAGATAGTGCATCAGATGTTACCTAAAAGATCGGTGCCTCAAATCGTGAGTTTGAGACTGTCAATAAGATAATCTCAACTCAGATAATAATCAAGAGTAGAACGGCGTTTTCGGAATTGAAAGCGCAGCAGATATCCTCCTTGCCAATTAGGAGTGTCAGGAGTTAGGGAATTAAAATTATTCTTGGATTTTTAATTTTCAGAGAGAAATGTCAAACATGTCAACCGCCCTTACCTCATCAAGATAAACCATGTTTCTTTGGCTCGCCAAGTTTATGGGTAACAAATTGCTCAATTTTTATTTTCTTCGTTTTATCGTTAAATTTGAGGAGGAGGACCTTGAAAGTTTCTGAAGTATCCCAAAGGAGGAGCGCTTCTTCGGATCGGCTTCATTTTTTGACAGCACACTTAATCCTGTGATGTTGCATACTCCAACGATTGAAGGTGCTCCGCTTGACAACTTTCAAGTCAGCAAATTATTGCTCTTACTTGGCCAAATAAAGAAATTAAAGTTGATACCTTTGATTTCCTTAAACTAGAGGGTATTTGAAAGATAACAGTTTCTGGAATTTTCATTTTTTGCATTTCCTCAAAGGACCCCGCACACCTCTTAGGGGAAGCTGCACCATGACCGATTGCCATCAAAGGTATTTTGATTTCCTTAAACTAGAGGGTATTTGAAAGATGACAGTTTCTGGAATTTTCATTTTTTGCGTTTCCTCAAAGCCGCCACGTTGAATTTTCCAAAATTTTATTTTGAAACAATACCATCCGCACTTGTGACAACGTCAGTTGTTTTTCCTTTTCCTAAAAGGCACTTTTCAAACTTTTCATTCCTGGTTTGTTTTTAGTTTTTTCGATAATTTGGAGCTCAACGGCGATTTTTTGAAAAGTGGTCAATTTAAAATTTTGACCGGCTATAACTTTTGAGCGAGTGAACCGATTTTAATTTTTTTTTTCGCCATTCTCCTTGTCTTTTCAATTTCTTTCTAACCATGTCTTAAAAAAATGTCCACCAAAAAAAATCCCCCCCCCCCCCNCCCCCCCCCCCCCATCGAAGGATTTCCCTTTTTGAATGATGAAGAATGCCACAAACCGCGACCTTCTATCTTTTTTTGTTCAAAAATTTTACACACTTTTCAGTTACTTTACGGACACCTGGTATATATTGTAATACTCTTTCTAGGTTGAAAGTGTCAAAGCAATGAAAAAGAGGATGTGTCTTTTGAAAGTCATCACAACTTACTTTAACTAAAAATTTTTCAGGTACGGTTTTGGATACATGCTGATTTTCATTGGATTTGTTTGCAATCCCAATAGAATACTCGCACTGAAAAAAACGAGAAAAAATTCAAAATCAAAATCGAGCGATTTTCAAGTTCTGTCTCTAGAATGGTACAGAAAGTCATTAGGTTGGAGTAGTTCAGTAAAAGACCACTAAAACTGAAACCCTAAAAGCTGGAAACTCAATTTTTAATTCAAACATTTGTAGAAAATCTCAGTTAGAGAGAAGATCTCTGAATTAAAATAGAGCATGACCAAAGGATTAAAGTCGAGAGTTCTCCAGAATTGTCAGCATGGTGTCATGTCTTCATTGTATCATGCAAGAGTATTAAGTGAATGAAGGTAGATGTTGTTTTCTTAACTTTTTTTTAGTGAAAGCAACCAGGAGAAAAATTTACATGAATAAGAGCTCCATGAAGTTGGCTGACCAACATGAAGAACAAATTCCAAAAATAGGTCCAGCATTTAGTGCTTCAATTGCTCTTAATTGTTCTTCAAATTTCAGCTCATACCGCCAAAGGGTTCAAAAACTACAGCGTTAAAACGAAATGATAAGCCAACTTCACGCCCAAAAACCTATTTTTTACTTTTGCGGAGAGCTATTGATGCTATCAATTGTGCTTTGCGGCCAGCATTTAGTGCTTCAATCGTTCTTTCTATATCTGAAGAAATGTTTGAAATCCGTGCAACTGCTCTCCTACCACAGTCAAAAAAATAGTTTTGGTAAGCCAACTTTACGCCCAAAACCCGTTTTTTTTTACTGTGGCGGTATATTTTTGATGCTAACAATTGTGCTTTGCGGCCAGCATTTAGTGCTTCGATAGTTCTTTCAATATCTTAAGAGATTTTTCAAATCTGTTGATCCGTTCTCTTGCCAGAGCCAAAAAACCGAGTTTTGAGCTAAAACGGCGTGAAGACAACTTTCTTGAAAGTTTTTGGACACAATTGTGCTTTGCGTCTATCATTTAGTGCTTCAATTGTGCTTTCGATATCAGAAGAGATTTTTTAAATCCGTTAATCCGTCCTCTCACCAGGGCTAAAAAACCTTTTTTTGAACTACCACTTAAACTGCGTAAAGACAACATTTTTAAAAATTGTTGGACACAATGGGCCTGTTGCAAACTTTTGCTAGAGCAAAATGAAGAGTTGTTTCCTATAGATAATGCCTCAAAAATCACGATGAGCGCATCAGCAAAGTCTGAAATGCACTCAGAAATTCACAATCTGCGTAAGAAATTTGCGTTATTTTGAGCTACCCGCTTCAAAAACGATACTACTGCACAGGTGAACATTTTGGTAGAGAAGTCGCTCCATCGTCGGCAATATTCATCATGGCCGACGCTTGCGCAGTTCCTCGCGTGATTCGAGGAGAGTTCAAGGTCAATTAAGGCGGGCGAGGAAAATATGAACGTAAACACGCCGATTGTTATATGGTTTAATCCTGTTCAGGTGTTATCTCGTCCCATCACACGTGTTTTGGCGGACTGGCGTCGGCCATGATGAGTATTGTCGCCAATGGAACGACTCCTCTAACAAAATGTTCACCTGTACCGTAGTATCGTTTTCGAAGCGGGAAGCTCAAAAAACCGCAAATATCTTACGCAGATTGTGAAGTTATGAGTGCATTTCAGACTTTGCCGATGCGCTCATCGTGATTTTTGAGGCACTATCTGCAGGAAACAACTCTTAGTTTTGCTCTAGCAAAAGTTTGCAACAGGCCCATTGTGCTTTGCATCTAACATTTAGTGCTTCAGTTGTGCTTTCGATATCAGAAGAGATTTTTGAAATCCACCAATCCGTTCTTTTGCCAGAATCACATTCCCAGCACCCGAGCGCGCTAATCCAGCCCCGGTTTGAGGATCCTGCACGAAAATTCCGGATCTTCAGTAGTGGCTATCTGGGACTGCGGAAGATTCACGGTCCGGCCGCGCATGAATTGGATTTTCTTCCAGGATTTCACCTATTAATTACATGAAGTTAGATATAATTCTCGTTAATGAATTTGACTTTCTTTTTTTTCGAGGGAAAATTTATTCTGAGTGCCTCGGAAGCTCTGATTTATATACAGGGTGGACCAGAAGTTCCAGGACGGTCGGCTAACTTTTGAACGGCTGGACGTAGAAAGATGAAATTTTGAGAATGTTTCTAGGTCATTGGGAGCTACATTTCCGCGTATTCAAAATTTCGGAGGTCCACCCCCGTATGCCTTCGCGGACCGTTACTAAAACTTTTTAAATGGCAACCCCTTTTTTTCATTTTGAAACCGTTTAAAAGAAGATTGAGGGAGAACAATGTTGACGTGAAGAAAAGGTGGTCCCGATTTTCCGCTTCGGACGCATCCTCGATCGAAGTTCGAAATAGACCTAATTTCAAAAACTCAGAAGTGCAATTTAAACTGTCAGAGAGAATTACACAAGAGGGGTAAATTACTCATAATTAATAGTACTTGTAAGAAAAAATCATAACTCATAGGTTTATACGATTTTGAGGCAGCATTCGAGACTACAAAAATTTTGAACGTTTGAGCTCCTACTCTTCTCTTTAGAACGGTTGCTGTTTCGGTAATCGGTCTTGGGATTTCAATAAAAACACAAACTGAGATTTCAAAGATACTAAATGCCTCCCTCCCCCCCTCCTGCGTAATCATCGATGAACTTTCGATTTCTATGAGCAAGAAACGGGCCTTTCATTTTCTAGTTTTTACAGACGAGGGAACTTTTTATTTAAACAGAGTTGCTAACAAGCATAACGACAAACTTTGGAGTAACGAAAATCCTCATTGGATTCGGAAAATTCAGGTTCATGCGCCATAACAAGTGATCACGTTTGCTGTTGCATATTTGGCTTGAGTGTCACTCTATACATAGTAGGTAAGCGTCACTGCTGCCATTCCTCCATCTGTGATGCGTAAATTTGCATTTCGATGGCGGTAAGGATCGGGATGGTTGGAAGGTGCTTTAGAGGACCCCGTAAAAGGAAGCATTTTATCTCAACTCACAGTAAGTTTTAAACACTTTTAATGCGGTCATTATACCACCCGCGATTTTTTTGCGGAAATGTCAACTAGAAGGCCTACTGCTGATTGAGGAACAACAAACCGCGAAATCTGTAGTTTGACCGTTTTTGAGAAAATGCGATTTTTCGCTTTTTTGGCGGGAATTTCGGGTCAAGGCGCTGAAAAAGTCAAGTTAGTCTGTTTTTGTGGCTTGTAAATGCATAGCCTATACATTTATAGTCAATCAAGTGTCAGTAGATTTGTGCATATTGCCCAAAATACATATCCTTAAATCCACGACTTTCGGATTTTTTGGGGGTTGGTCAAGGAGAAATCCGAAAAAAAGAGGGTTAACCCAGAATAAATTGCTTAACAAACTTTTCCTGTGTAAACGTTGTCAGTATGTCCTCTTGAACAACACACCAAAGTTCGTTCGATCCCGGAACACCCCTCCAAATAGCCTACATTTCAAAATGAAGGCCATAATAAGGCCTTCAAGAATAATTCAGGGTGACATCAGTCAGACTCAGGGTAGTTAATAGAACATAGCTTGACGTCAGGCTGATTCACTTTTACTAGGGATGTCACATAAACATTTCAAAAATTCACCCTCCTGCCTTTCAAATTTGGCCACCATTTTGGCATCTGGAGCAATCCCTTTGGCCGGAGGGCTTTTATGACTTCATAAATGAAATCTATGACCAAAATTACGCAAGAATTGATACCTTTCTTGCCTTATCACGCGAACATTTTAAAAATTCACCCCTTTGTCATTCAACATTGGCAGCCATCTTGAATTTGGAGCACCTCCTTTAACTTGGGGACTTTTCTGACTTCGTATCTGAAATCTACGACCAAAATTACATAGGAATTGACACCTCACATGACACTATATGCATATTTTAAAAAATCGAAAACCCAGAGGCCTTATTATGGCCTTTATTTTGAAATTTAGGCAATTTGGAGGGGTGGCCCGGGACCGAACGAACTTTGGTGTGTTGTTCAAGAGGACATACTGACAACGTTCACACAGGAAGAGTTTGTTAAGCAATTTATTCTCTTTTTTTCGGATTTCTCCTTGACTAACCCCACTTGATTGACTAAAAATGTATAGGCTATGCATTTACTATCCACAAAAACAGACTAACTTGACTTTTTCAGAGCCTTGACCCGAAATTCCCGCCAAAGAAGCGAAAAATCGCATTTTCTCAAGAGTCAAACTATAGATTTTGCGGTTTGTTGTTCCTCAATCAGTAGTAGGCCTTCTACTTGACATTTCCACAAAAAAATCGTGGGTGGTATGTTGACCGCATTAAAAGTGTTTAGAACTTACTGTGACTGGTGCGCCATTTTGTGAAATTTAACGAAGCCCATCATTTTACTTGTACCAAAAATTGGGGAAATCAACTAGTTGCAGGCCGATTCCTCCCGAGTTTAACTGACCCAGTATACTACAAAAATAATTTTCCATCAATGTGGAGGTCAGGCAAGGGTGGCATTTACATTTCATTTACCTACGTTCTTCCTCATAAATTGGCCTTCTCAATACACTTTTCTTTTGGGGGCAATTCAGTTCATTTGACCGTTACAACACTTTTTCAGGAACAAAAGTTTGATAGTCCTGAAGAGTGCTTACCTGTGGCTGAAGACCTCGAATACAAAAAAGACCATTGGCTTCAGACAAGCTTTCTTCCACGAGTTGAGTGCAAGCTGGTGATCCAATACCAGTTGCTTGAACAGAGATCCCCTCTTCCGGTTCACCATTTAATGCCACCAGTCTACCAAATACACTAAATGCAACACGTTCTCCACTGAAAATATAATAAACAAGCTTTGGTCAGTTGTGCAGAAAGTTCAAATCCTTCCTCAAATTCAATTGATCATCCTCCATCTTCACAAAAATTCATGATTAGTTCTTTTTAAAGACTCAAAATTTTTCCTCCAAGAAAGTAGAATCTTCCACTCCTCGGACACATTTAAACCAAAAATATCATAAAATCTGAGAGAGTTTCGCGTTCCTGTCCTGATGAGGGTTCTCTCATTGGAAAAAACCAAGCCAATTGCATGGTCTTAGTGGTGTAGTCAGAATCTAGGCTGAAATTTTCTATCAATATTGCTTTTGATTATGGTAATTTAGCATAAGATCTTTATGTTTTCTTATTGATGAAATACTGTGAGTATTATCTAAAAAAGCAAACCCCAAAAATAGCGAGATATTGACCCCCCAAGATGGAATGAATTTTTGCAGTGTTCAAAAGAGCCCGTTTTAACGAATCAAATTTTCTCGACTCCCCTCACTATGACTCCACAGCGAAACTCTGTATGAGTCCATAATACTTACAAAGAGTGTTTCTAAAGCAACTTTAAACATAAATTCTAAATATTTCATCAAAACTGAGCTAGAAATGATTTAAATGGCCATAATTTAGGGTTTTTTTATAATTTACTAATTTCTTGCCACTCGACATTCTAACTGAACTTTCCAAAGTACATACCGTCAAATTTTCGATTTTTCCCCCTAGTTCATGCTTACAATGTATACTTTTGGATGATGTACATATTTCAATTGCTATCGGATGGCCTGGGGCCTAAAAATTTCGAACAGGCCAAAAAAGGTAAAAGAAGGTCAAAAAAGGTCAAAAATTGATAAAAAAAAAGACGAATTTTTACACATTAATCCACGTGTCTCTAAAGTAAAGAATTCAATTATGGTTATTTTTTTTCCAGTTCCACCTCAAAATGTATAAAACCAATTTATCAACATTTAAAGATACCCATCGATCGGTTAACGACCTACAGTTAATAGAAATTGGCCGGAAATGCTAAAAAATGACGAAAAAAGACAATTTTTCGCACGGTAACCAATGTAACTGATGAATGGTCACTACTATTTCCAATTTTTTTTATCTATTTCAACCTTAAGATATGAGGACTTATATGTAACAATAGCGGATGTCGAGTTTTCACATTGTGAGAAAATCGGGTTTGAAGTTTTCGAAGCTTTGCACTCTGCCGCCTGTGGAAGCGAGAGGATTCTTATAAAAATTTTCATGAAGAGCAACTCCTCCTGTAAAAACACACATTTTTCGATCTAAGTAAGTGAAAAATTGAAGGGGTAACAGCGATTTGAAAAAAATGTGACATCCGCTATTTTTACTGAAAACACTTTTTCATGCATGACACAAAGTCTTCAGGAAGGGTAAGGCCGGTGAAACGATTGAAATGAACCAAAAGTATGTCAATGCTGAGTCATTTAATCAAATTCAACAGAAAACTAAACCGTCTGTAACTTCTACAACAAAAACAAGGAACAAATTATCAAATCCGTTGAAAATTCATCAATTCTGGCAAAATGATCCAGATATATGTTATTTGAGTGACAGCTGCAGCCCATGGCCGGTGCTTGGGCAGTTATCGCAAGCTCGTTAGAATCTCTGCGGTGTCCTGCCGCTCCAGCCGAGGAGAACACTGAGAACAGTGGATTCTCATATCTGCTGTTTTTACAAATAACATGGTTTTCAGTTCATATCTCCCCTAAAAAATTACACTGGAAGTCTAAAACTTTGCACAGGCATTCTTGAGGGCTCCAGAATTCGAAATAAGCATTTGCCCTAAAAATGGCAGATGTCAGCGACCGCTGTTGTTACATATAAGTCTTCAAATATACTTTCGAGTACTTATCTTTTACTATTGTGCATCGATGGGTTCCAATGTGTAAAAATTCGTCATTTTTTTTTTACCAATTTTTGACCTTTTTTGGCCTATTTGAAATTTTTAGGCCCTAGGCCATCCGATAGCAATTGAATAATGTACATAATCTAAAAGTATACATCGTAAGCTTGAACTAGGGGGAAAAAATCGAAAATACGACAGTATGTACTTTGGAAAGTTCAGAATGTCGAGAATGTCGAAAGTCCAGAATGTCGAGAGGCAAGAAATTAGTAAATTATAAAAAACCCTAAATTATGGCCATTTAAATCATTTTTAGCTCAGTTTTGATGGAATATTTAGGATTTATGTTCAAAGTTGCTTCAGAAACACTCTTTGTAAGAATTATGGACTCATACAGAGTCTCGCTATGGAGTCATAGTGAGGGAGGTCGAGAAAATTTGATTCCCTAAAACGGGCTCTTTTGACCACCGCAAAAATTCATCCCATCTTGGGGGGTCGATATCTTGCAAACGGAGCATTGGATGGGCAAACCCTTCAAGTTAGTTTCTTAGAATGATGTAAGGGCCCTGTATACCAGTTTTTAGCCAGATCCAAGGGTTCGGGTACCAGGCTTGGTTGAGTTGACGTGGAATGGCCCTGCTGCAGTAAAGAGCCGCCATGAAGTTAAGCAAGAAATCAAAATCTTACACATGAGTACTCAACTTTTCCGGTTACACATTTTCTCTCACTGACTTATCTTAACTTCTCTGGTTTTCTAAGTCTTTAGACACAAAGCATACTAACCTAAACACGATCTCAGCTGTAGCACCCTCGCTGACACTGACCATCCTGGAGGATGGAAGAAAGCGATATTCTTTCATGATGGGTCTTAAATAATACTCAGATGGACTTAATGAAAGAAAACTGATATTTCCAGTGGCATCAGTTTGTCCATTACTGCGGTAATTTTCATGTCCCGATAAGGAAATAAGCACTCCCTGAAATAAGAAGAGAAAGTTATGCAAAAATCAAAAGAAAGTCCCAATGGGTCTGTTGCTCGCAAGAGGTACAGCCAAATAAATGTACTCTCTACCAGGAAAATCGCATGGAAATCACGTTAGGTATGTCAAAAAAGTTTGAAATTCATTCCTTAGCATACAATTTGCGTAATTTGTAAGACACTTTTATAAGTTTCCCGCGTCTGTGAGCAGTTATTCTGTCACTGTCGACCAGGTTTGCACAGGCAGGAGAATAAGAAAAACTAACCTGAATAAACAAACGATTCGACTGATTTCTTCTACCGTATATTTCAATCGTTTTCAAGCATTTGTTACCTTTTTCTTTCTTATTTTGCAAAAACAAAAGCTTTGCCCCAATTGAATTAAGATGATTGGAGGGTTGCACACAAGAACGTAACACTGGGTTGAGACTAAGGCAAGAACGTAACACTGGGTTGAGACTAAGGCATTTTATTAAGAAATGCAAGAAATGCAAATATTCAACAGTCACAAATACATATGATGATCACAAGCAAGCAAGAGCAAGAATGGCGAATGCCTCATTGATGGATGATGACCATCGCACACTGTGGTATTTGACCGAAAAACCTGGCCAAAACCTCAATTTTAAATATTTTTTTTTTGGAAAACGAATGTGATATTCGAATCGAAATCTACACTGTTTTTCACCCTAGTAGACATGTATGTGCCATTTTTCGAGTGGCTCAATTTCCCGTGAAGAGACCACGAACTTACCTATTTCTTAGCGATTATTTTGATATGTTTCGGCGCGCTACTCGTCGATCAGTTTACTACAACTGTGCGGCCATGAAAGGGAAGTTCGGCGATATGCAACACGTTTTTAGGGGTATATTCTACACAACTACCCACAGTATTTTCGAAATTTCCTTTTGTAGTGATTTTCACGGGAGGTTGAAAAGAGATGTAAAAGTAAACGTTTTTTTCGAAATTCAGAGTCCGATTTCTTTTTGCACTCAACTGCGCTCAAGCGGTTTAATGCGAAATGTTATAGTCCAAAGTGGGTATTTTCAGGATTCAGGGGTGACAGACTGAGGAAAACTGAGGAAATTGAAATTTTTGACCTTAAAGATGGACTTTTGAGCGATTGTCACAAACATGAATGAGAAAAATTATATCGATACTAACAACTGAAATTGTATTTTTCCAACAGCTCTGACCCATTTAGTACAAAATTGGGTGATACTTGGTCACGCAATCTTTTTCTCTAGCCCCTGCGCCCCCGAAAGAGGGATGAAAAAAATAATTTGAAAGCGGATGAGAGGATCACTTTAAAGTCTTGCAAAAATGTTTAATCCGTTATCTAACCATCTCTTCGTGCATTATCCTTGAGTATAGACATATTTATGCCATGTTTTACATTGACAGACAAATTTGAGTCCATGCAGCCATGGGGTGGGGCTTCAAAAGTGGCCTTCTGGCACCATGAAATTACGCTGAGAGGCACATTTTGAAGCCTCGTAAAAGTTATTTTACGATTTTTCCTAAGCCAGCAGATTGTAAAGGGACATCATTAAAATTAAATAATCCATTATTATCAACTTCTATTTTCTGCGGTCAGAGTATATATACTACCCACGAATTTTTATAGAAAATACCTTCTGCATGATATTAACGTATTATTACAATTTAAATCAAAACTGTTAACACTTAAATATCGAGAATGATTCAAAACCTAAATTTTGAGAAAGAATACAATTGCACCTCGATAAGTAAGATATGTGGTTTTCTTACGAATTTCGCAGTGACTTACGCTGTTTTATATTAAAAAAGGCAATTTCAAAGGTAATGAGCTTGTTCAGCAATTCGTAATTCTTGCATTTTTGGAAACTAGAGAGTGCACAGAGTTCACAGGAATTTTCCCCGATTTTTTTGAGCAATATTAACCCACGAAATACGAGTCCAAAAGTCCGTATTTTGGGCTCCCATTTAAACGCGCGCTGCTTGGCCCATCTCAAAATGGCGCCCATTATCTCCGTCCGGCGGTGGCCACACTTTTAACCCGGCATGCCAGCGAGGTACCTCTGCATGCCTCTGCCGTGTGTGGGTCGTGTAAACAAACGAAGATTGATAACACAAATGATCCAAACAACTCGAAATCTCTTAATTTTAATTAATTTAAATCCATTTTCGACTTCAACCAAGCATTTGGCAATAATATTCATCGTATTTTACAACCAGGAGCCACGGCCTATCGGCTCATTTTAAGGTGCATTCTGAAAATCAGTCTTACAAGTCCAGTGTCCAAATCCAGACTTTCTTCTTTTACTTTTTTTTGACCATTCTCTTTTCATTTTCGCCTCAAATCAAATGTTTTGCAGTTTCTTTGTCTTAAGTATGTGGTCCTGAATTCATTCAAGAGTTAGAAGTTCACCATTTATTTAGTATTATAAGCCTTTTGACCTCTCAAGCTTTACCGATATGATCTCATGTAGTTCAAGGTTTCTTTGGCCCAAACCAAGTGATTACACATCTGATGTGTGTCATATGGCCATGTTCCTGACTTATTCGTATGGGAGGATGTAATTCTATGTCTTTTCAAAATCCTTCCATCCGTCTGTACCTGAGAAATTCAGTAAACCAGCCGACTTTCGGACTTTTAACAAGAATGGTCGGCAACTTTACCATTGAAATGATTCTTAGGTGTTTCTGAACAAAGGGACTTTATTAAAATTTTTGTTGGACAGGTTTGATTCACCCTGAATTCTTAAATAGAGAGAAAAAAAATAATTTCTTCACTCTAGAAAGACAAGAAACTGACGAAACTGTAGGTTAGTAAGTAGTTTTTGATTAGTTCATTCCATGAAATATGATGAGCCTTGTTGCTGCAGGAAACACAACATACTAGCAGGAATCCTCAAATAAATTTTCTGTCTTGTACAATATCTGTTGATACTTAAGTATTTGATGATACCTATGAAGTACAAAATTTCTGAAAAGACCCTGGGAATACCAGCAGAGTCATCTCAAAATTTTCTCCCAGGAACAAAACTAAAAATTGTGGAAGTTTCCTAAGAATGCTCTCAAGGCAAATTTACGTATTATTCATAGATGAAGTGTAGCCTGCTACATATCATGTCGTATTCCTCTTCAAATATACATGCAGGTGAGTAGATTTTGAAATTTTAAGCGCACAATTTGCTTATGAAAGAAGCGTGCACTACCATGATTTCCTCTTACCATTACCACTTCCTGATAAATTTTTATAACTTGATGCTTTTGAAAGTTGAGTTGTGATGTTGGTTCAGCCGCAGCACTCACCAGAAAATTCCTTCTTCGATCGGACCTTTGATGATTCATTGTCGAAATAGCTTTGAACTGATTAAAGATAAATCACACCGCATGAGTGTCATTTAGTGATGAATCAGAGATCAAAGTATAAATTTGAAGCTGCTAGAGCAGTAATTTTATCAGACAAGAGTGACCGTCTAAATGCAAAATCCACTTGTGACAGATCTCAGAAACTTTGCATCACCGCAAGGAGACATTAACAGAATATCTATACACCAAATTATTTACGCAACTAGGTGAATTTCTTTGGTAAATTATTGCGCTTAAGAGAAAGTCCTGACTGTAGAAAACAAGAAATAATACCTGTACCGATAGCATAGCTGTGTATATGCACTACAGTGGTCACTTATGAAGAACAGACACGAACAAACACTTATGAAAAACATTGAACAAGAGAGCAGAACTGGATTAAGTAACTGTAGTCTCTGATTTAGTTCTAAACTGCGAATTTGAAGAGCCATATGACACACATCAGATGTGTACCTAATCACTTGGTTTGGGCCAAAGAAACCTTGAACTACATGAGATCATATCGGTAAAGCTTGAGAGGTCAAAAGGCTTATAATACTAAATAAATGGTGAACTTCTAACTCTTGAATGAATTCAGGACCACATACTTAAGACAAAGAAACTGCAAAACATTTGATTTGAGGCGAAAATGAAAAGAGAATGGTCAAAAAAAAGTAAAAGAAGAAAGTCTGGATTTGGACACTGGACTTGTAAGACTGATTTTCAGAATGCACCTTAAAATGAGCCGATAGGCCGTGGCTCCTGGTTGTAAAATACGATGAATATTATTGCCAAATGCTTGGTTGAAGTCGAAAATGGATTTAAATTAATTAAAATTAAGAGATTTCGAGTTGTTTGGATCATTTGTGTTATCAATCTTCGTTTGTTTACACGACCCACACACGGCAGAGGCATGCAGAGGTACCTCGCTGGCATGCCGGGTTAAAAGTGTGGCCACCGCCGGACGGAGATAATGGGCGCCATTTTGAGATGGGCCAAGCAGCGCGCGTTTAAATGGGAGCCCAAAATACGGACTTTTGGACTCGTATTTCGTGGGTTAATATTGCTCAAAAAAATCGGGGAAAATTCCTGTGAACTCTGTGCACTCTCTAGTTTCCAAAAATGCAAGAATTACGAATTGCTGAACAAGCTCATTGAGTGCCCTCACTTCGAGATATGGACCCTGGGTCAGGAGGGAACCTATCAAAATGAATCATTTTCACAGGTGCGTTCTGTCCTTACAATGGTTCTTATTACAATATTATTCATTTTTATCTTATAAGTTATCCTCAAATCATCATATGGAGGTCCCAGCATTTTCATACTAGCACTAATTTTGATTCAAAACTGTCAAAAATCTAATATCTAGAATGATTCATATTAATTTTTTTGAGAAATGTACAATTACTCCTCAACATGAGAGATCGGCTGTTGCGTCAAAAATTTTGAAGTGACTTACGCTGTTTCTTAAAAAAAACCATTAATGAGGTCATAGAGAGTCCTTCTTTCGAAAAGTGGAGCATAGGTGAAGGAGAAACTCGTCTAAATGCACCGCTTTAGTCCAATACTTTGCGTCCTTTTAAAGGCTTTTTGGAGGGCTTCTTCCATCCGTTTTAAAATCTCCGCAAATTGTCATATGATGTGTTAGATGGTTAAATTGT